CATCAAGTATGAAAGGTGTAGATTTTGAGAACACATCATATGACAGTAAATGTAATGCTGCATCAAGTATATTGTTAGAATCAGTTTTGAAAAACAGATCTCACAAAGTAGGCATATTGATACGTGCAGCAAATAGCATTAGGAAATTGAATAGCTTTAGTGATTTTGGTGAGCAATGTCAGAAAAAATAGTCAGCCTTATTTTTATGAATCAGCGTATTTATATCCTAATGATGATCGTGATAGCCAATTAGATAGTCCAATTGCAATCCCTGTTGATACAAATGGCACCTGTTATGTAGCAGGGATTGTTGAAGTATCATGTATTGACAGAGCAGAAGAATGTAATGATGATAGTGACTCTGAAGATGACAATTTTGATAATAATAGAATGTATACTAATAAGAGAAAGCCTGTCCTCAAATGGCACTGTACAGACAGGTGCAAGCCTTTATTAGAAAGTGATGTTAGTTCTATTATTGAAGTTAGACGTTATTTTGATGAACCCATTAAAGAATTGAGGAAGCATTTAGATGCATGTGATAATTGTCCTAATACTCATTATATGACAAGATCCCTGCATGTTGAAGAAATAGATCAAGTGCATGAACATGATTTTTATGATAATGCAAATGTAACGGTAATTGTTAAAAAAGATGAAAATAATGTTGAAAAATATTTTTATATTCTGAAATTGATTGTGAAAGGATAGGCCATCCTTTTGTGTGTAGTAGTAATGATACTGATTGTAAAAGCATGCTGTGTATTTTACGCAATGCATCTGTTCATTATCATTTGTTGAGACGCCTTTTAAAACACTTTTATGTTGCTAGAAATGCCCATTTAACAATAGATATTATTGATTCTTCCCTTGCTGATGGCGATATAGCACAATTGATAAATTTAAAAATTAATGAAGCTGATGAGACTGAATTTGATAATGTGTATTATGCTATAAATGATGGCGAAGAAGAAGACCCATTTACAATACCAAACTTAGATACTGTACTTTATTTTTAGTATTCAGATGCTATTGACGAATTTAAGAAAGCTTTGTCTCTACAGGCTGTTAATGCTTGTTGTAGCTGTGAGAGGCTTTTAAGAAAAAAATTTGTCACTGAAGCTAAAATTTAGATAGCGATGTTTGGAATATCCTATTAGATTACATTAGAGAGAATGATCCTACAGCATTAAATAAAGTTATGTATATTTGTTAACAACCTATTATTAGGAAAAATGAAGTTCCTGCACGTTGTGTGCTCAATGGGTTAAAGTGTGATCCACTACCAAAAGAATTGAAAAATTTGGATCCTTTAAGTTGCCAGTTAATACAGAGGGCCAAATGTTTTCAGACAATTGTTAGGCTAGGCACACACACCTTAAAAGTGCCTACATATAATTCTTTGAAGGCTCTTAAAGGTGCAATGTTTTATTTACCCCTTCCATTAGAAAAAACCATGGAAACTTTAAATGAGATTGGTATAGATTCTAATCATTTGCCTAATCCAGAACATTATATTATTATTAATGGACAGCCTACTAAATCAAATAATGTCTGGCGTAGCCTAGTTGATGTGAATAAAATAAAAGCAGCACTAAGAAAATTAAAAGAAATAAATTGGCTTTATAGAAACGTAGATGATGACTCCATCGACGAATCGTCTAAAAATGTCATACAAGTAGTAAGCAATACTACTTGTAAAATGCTTGAAAAAGCAAATAATCAAGATTTAGAAGGCCATTTGGCATATACCATTAGAAATCTTGATAGTAAAATTGCAAAAGGTTTTGATATCAGTCAATATAAATTAATGAATGTAAAAGAAGCGCCTATAGACAATAGGCAAGAGCATCTTGATTTGTTATGCTTTCCTACTTTATTTCCTACTGGACAATATGGAGAGCATCATCCCAGACAAAGCTATCCAGCACAGACTTTATCATTTAGTGAATACATAAAATCTAGACTTTTAAACAAAGATTACAGATTTCGTAGAAATCATTCATATTGTTTGCACTATTACGGATTAAAAATTAACAAGGCCTTAAAAACTGGCATATATAATTTATTAAAAACATCAAGGGGTAATGTTGGTCAAACTGTTGCTGAAATATTAGAAAAAATAAATGTTTTAGATGAAAAATTTGAGGGCAATTTA